CTTTTGATATCATTGCAAGTCATGTTGGAAAGGAGGAGAAAGCAACACCAACTCCAACCCCGGTCCCAACACCAGCACAAATTGTTGATCCGCCTACACCGTCATCGGCACAAACGTCTCCAATGCCATCCCCTGCAGAGGCTACTACACCGACTCCAATTGTTCCCCATGAGGAACTTAAGACCACTGCTGGCAACACTATAAGCAATGCGGATACTCCTCCCATCGTTTCCAGTGAGGAAGCAAAGATCGTAACGAGCACTCCCATTGCCAACACTGAAGCCCCCAACGTCCCTCCTGCTGAACCAAAAAGCAGTATCCCTATTACTAACATTGAGGTTACCAATGTTTCTACTGAGGAAGGAATTTCTCCTCCTATCAGCGGCGTCGAGGCCCCCAACGTTTCAAAGGATGAACCAAAATTCACAACCACCATTCCTATCAGCAACATGGAGGTGACTAGAATTTGTTACACAAAAGTATCTGCTAGTATAGGAGAATGTCATACAGAAAATGTTAAAGGTTCCGACATCAGAGGACAAGATTATATCATCGTTGAACACTGAAGCGGTACCTGTACAGACGGTAGCAAGAGACGTGGACACAATCCCAATTCCGGTTTCAAACGTGGTTGCTTCCGATGAAGCATCCACTACGCCAGCAGCTCCTTTAGAATCGCAGGTTATCCACTCTTATGTGGCTTTTCATTTTTTCGAATTTAATCACGTATTCAAAGAGGCGAAACATATTATGCTTTCTGAGGTACCTCAGTAAGCATATTTTGACTTGTATTTGTAAAATTGAGCAGAATATCGATTCCATGTTTATTCCTTCTCATGAATTTTTTCTTGGACATAATGTAAAAGAATTATGAATCCAGTTTTGTAGTACAACTACCCCAAACTTAATTTTGATCATAGCAAAGCAAGGAGGCCTATCTGGGCTAACACTTTGTTTTCATGGTTATCATGCTATTCTTACATGTTGTTTCATATCGAAATCAACTTCCTTTTGTTTTACAAGTATGTATGTTTCTGCTATTAAGAGGATGAGGAATCTAGACGTGAACACGTGGCAGTTTAGTATGCGTTTTATCTTTGTTAAAATTTTTATCTGCCCAGAACACGTCTTCACCTCATACTTTATCATTATTTCACAGTAGATTTATTAGTTAAAACTTCGTTGTGAGGACCTGAGCATCGTCTTTTGTCGCTTTTCCTTCGATTGACGTTTTTTATCGGCATTGCTTACAGCGAAAAGTCGATGCATATTTGAGCAGGTGGATTAGAAAAGAGAGTAACGGCGCAGTATGGTGGGGACCTGGCTGTTGCGAATCATATGAATTTCAGTACTGTACGCGGGAAGAGTGTACCGAAGGGGAGTATCCGCCTGCTGCGAACGAGCAACCAGCTATTAAGACACCCTCTCAAGAGAATTCTATGGAAAGTCCAAATAGCCGTATGGAATATGCAAGTAGTGGAAAAGGCACATCGGACCCACCATCGCTTTGTTCTAGTAATTACAAGTGTGTCTCACAAATGCTAAAAATCAATTTTGTCTTACAGGTCCAGTTGGTGGGTTTTTAAAATCACTCGTCGGTAGCTTAAGGACGATTGGCGTTTTGAGCAATCTGGATGATGCAGGTACCTATATCTGAGCTTAGGCCATGTTATCGATTTTATTGTTTAGGTATCGGTCTCATTCTCAATTTTACATTCCTTTTGGTTGTTATTGTGATCCACTTCACTTCCT